CACACACACACACACACACACACACACACACACACACACACACACACATACACACACACAGCCGAAGCCACTGTTTTGGCTTGACCCAATCCACTGGACTTGAGTCGAACACTCAGCTGTTCGCACATGTAGACATATACTCCGAAAGCTGTTTTTGAAGAACCGCCATACAGACAGGACTGAACCTCAGACCAAACCAGGAATGACGCTGTCGTACTCTCATCATTCATGTGAATATTATAGCTCGGAACAAAGATCGGACAAAATCGGAACGAAGGACCGACCGACCGACCAACAAAGATGTTTACCATGCCAATCATGAAAAAATACGTTGATCAGGTCGATGCGCGGTAGCAGAAATGACGCTCATTTAACCGGAAAATAATTACAGGAATTTAATTATTCGAACCGGATGGACGATTCTCAATGCAGCATCGACAGAGAAAGAAAGCAAAAGCAAAATGCCAAACGTCGTTCGCATTCGACCGATTAATTTTCCGAAAGCCTCCTAAGTACCATAAGTGTGCACACTGCACAGCAGCAGGATTCCCAGCCCGCAAAAATAAAGGACTCCCAGTCCGCACGCCTAGGGCTGTATGGTTTTACAGTATAGTACTGCAATTCCAGCATTGAATTTCTCTTCGTCACCCCTCTCCACGGGATTCCGGATTATCACCATGAACGCACCCCCCTCTGCTGCATCAATTTTCCCGCTTATTTTTGAAAGTCAAAAATATGAAAATAGGTATTACTATATACGAATCCCTCAACACCCTCATTATTAAGCACCTAACGACCTGAGCAGGGGTCCCAACGTACAAAGCAAAGTTCCTGGAGACGTCCCTTCCAGAGTCCAGCTACTAGAGACGTGCAAAAAACCCTCCATTCCCTGTCTATACAGCTGCTGCAACCAGCCACCTTCGTCACTGCCCACCCCAAAATCTTTTTCTCACTGTAATATCTACAAACGATACGGACATTGCGACAGCCCCCAGAGCAGCACTATTCGACGCCTAACCAGCAGCTAAAGCAGGGGTCCTGACGCACAAACCAAACCTACCAGTAACCGACAGAGACTGAGAGACAGGGAAGAAACCCATCACGTGGCGGTAAATCTGAACGACTTCATCAGCTTATTGATTTCGAGGGAATAATTAGATATCATTGAGATGGTAGAATTGATATCTCTCTCGTACCAGACAGCCCAGGAGCTAAAGAAGGCAGCTGGATCTTCCAGGGCCCAGAACATAGTCCCTGCCATCTGCTTCCCCTGGGCAGCGGCCAAGGTCTCCTTGAAAACCACCTGAAAGAAGCCATTCCTGCCTTGGGTGGCATTCACATCGTCGCCCTTCCAGCCGAACTCCTCAAACACCAAAGGCATATTCAGCTTGCGACCGTCTTCAACGTGGCCAAGGATCCACTTGCTCGTGAAAGACAGCATCGTCGAGTAGGGCCGCTTGGGAATCCACAGCTGAGGATAGATATGGACGGTCAAGTAGTCGATGTTGGCGATCTTCCCCTCGGCTACGAAGTCATTACCTTGCTCCTGAGCCCACGTGTCTGGATTGAAAGGGTAGCGCGAAGGATCGGACGGTCCGTAGAAGCCCTCCACGCCGGTACAGACCATATGCTTCTTGTCCAAACTCTTGACGAAAACCGCCATCTCACGAAGCCAATTCTGCACCGTCTTGCCGGTAAGGTCGGACGTGGCGCGCGGCTCGTTCATCAACTGCCAGGAGAATACGGCAGGCTCGTCGGTGTAGAGCATGCCGGTGATAGTGTTCTTCCGAGTAATGACCTTCCTTACGAGCGCCTTGTACCAGTCCTTCATCTCCTTCACACGGAAGAAGTCGTCCGGTACGGTCATGTTGTTGCCGGACCTCTGCTTGTACCAAGAGGCGTACACGGCCTTGCTTTCCCAGTTGCCGGCGAATGTAAGAACCAAGCGGATGCCGAATGTCTTGGCCTCGCGCATGACCCAGTCCATAGCAACAAGCACAGTCTCGTCGAAGACATCAGGAGACTTCTGAACCATACGTGATGATCCTTCGTTGCAGATCATCGCCCGGACGACCGTCAGTCCCATAGAACGCGCGTGGGTGAAGAGCTTGGTGACCCTAGCACGACCTGGAGCAGTCCGGGCGTTGTACACAACGTCACGGGTGTTCCAGCCGTTCATGATGAAAGTAGAGCCGTCGCCGGCGTTGAAGAGCAAGCCCTTGGGTTTCACGATGCCCCAGTGCGCCTTCGGATCGTAGGTTGCCTCAGCAGCCGTGGGGGGGGGAGGGCATGGTTCGCTGCCGGGCTGGCACTTCGTGCCAGCCTTGCAGCAGGGAACGGGGGCTGGTGTGCAGGGTTTGCTCCCAGGCTGGCATTTCGTGCCAGGCTTGCAGCAAGGAACAGGTGCGCACGGTTGGCTTCCCGGCTGGCATTTCGTGCCAGCCTTGCAGCAAGGCACGGG